TCTGAAGGATAGCTTCAGTGGATGTAAAATTCTTTGGTGGTGGGATTTCTTTTTTTTTTTTTTTTCTTCCAGCACTTTTAATATATTATCCTTTTCTTTCCTAACCTATAAGGTTTCTTCTGAGAAATCCATTTTTAGGTTAATGGGGTTACCCTTATATGTGAGTTGGCATTTTTCTCTTGCTAGCTTTTATTTATTTATTTATTTTTATTTATTTTTTGAGGCAGAGTCTAATTCTGTTGCCCTGGCTAGAGTGCCATGGAGTCCTAGCTCACAGCAACCGCAAACTCCTGGGTTCAAGCGATCCTCTTGCCTCAGCCTCCTGAGTAGCCGTGCATGCATTCTATTTTTAGTAGAGATGGGGTCTCACTCTTGCTCAGGCTGGTCTTGAACTCCAGAGCTCAAGCAATCCACCCACCTCAGCCTTCCAAAGTATTAGGATTGTAGGTATGAGCAACCATACCTGATCTCTATTGCTGCTTTTAGGATTCTTCATTTGTCTTTGATTTTTAACAATTTGATTTTAATGTGTCTTAGAGAGGGCTTGTTTGTGTTGAATCTATTTGGGGCTCTTTGAGCTTCCTGGACCTCTCTCAAAACTTAGGAAGTTTTCTGCTACAATTTCATTAAATATGTTTTCTTACCTTTTTTGCTTCTCTTCTCCCACTGGAATGCCCATAAGAGTGTTTGTTTGCTTAACAGCGTCTTATAAATCATATGGGCTTTCTATATTGTCTTTCTTCTTGAATTTTCTTTCCTTTCCTTTCCTTTTTATTTCTCTTTTGTCTGCCTGTGTTATTCCAAAAGAACTGTCTTTAAGTTCAAGAATTTAAACCTAGGAATAAACACCAGGCATCTCTAGTCAGCCGTCTTGCTGATTTCATTCTGTAATTATTCATCTATACTCGGATCCTTCATGACTTTGTGGGTGTCCTTCTCTTGGAATATTCCTCTCCAAAGCAGAAAGGAGGGAGGGAGTGGGGTCTTGGTGTGCCACACCTTTTAGGGGCAAGACACGATTGTAAGAGGGACTTTGCCTAACAAATGCAACCAGTGTAACCTGGTTTCTTGTACCCTCAGTGGATCCTCAACAATTTAAAAAAAAAAAAAAGAATATTCCTCTCCAAATTCAAAATTTTATAACCTAACTCATGAAGCCTTATAACAAAATTTTTGAATCTTCCATACATCCATAGTTTGTCTGTAATATTATAGAACTCATTCTGTATAACATTTTTTTGATTATATGTATATTGAGCTGGGAACTCTTTTAGGCATGGACCTTAATCAATCTGCTTTGTATTGCTATTGCCTAGTTTAGTTCTTGGCATGTAGTAGATATCTTCTTATCTGTGTCCTATCACAGTCTTTATTTCTCTTTTAGTTTTAGTACTTACTGACAAAGGTATTACTTGAGTTTAAAATTTGTTTGAGTTACTTCAGGGCATAATGGTTAAGAATAACAGCCTGGGCTTGGCACCTGTGGCATAGTGATTGTAGGCCAGCTAAACAACAATGACAACTGCAACAAAAAATAGGCAGGTGTTGTGGTGAGCACCTGTAGTCCCAGCTGCTTGGGAGGCTGAAGCAAGAGAATCACTTAAGTCCAAGAGTTTGAGGTTGCTGTGAGCTGTGATGCCATGGCATTCTACCAAGGGTGACATAGTACTCTGTCTCAAAAAAAAAAAAAAAGAAAGAAGAGTACAGCCTAACATTAGACTATTCCATCATTTTCTGGGTGTGATTTTGAACAAAGTAATTAACTTTGCTAAGCTTCTATTCCTGTATATGAAAAACAAAGAAAATAGTAATACTTACATTATTGGTAAGATTAAATACATGTGAAGTGCTCAATATAGAGCCTAGCATAAAACTTGCATATTATATGTGAGTATTATTAACTATTATTATTCCTGTTAATTTGTTCATTGACAAATATTGATCGAGCATTTCACTCTTTGCCAGGTATTGTGCTAGGTACCAGAACAACTTAGATATGGTCACTGTATTCATGGAATGATACTTCAGTATGTACCAATTATTATAAAGGTTATTTTAACAATTGTTCTAGGTGGTGGTAAAAAGTTCCTGTTCCAATTAAATTGTAATTTCCTCATGCTTCCAAAAATTTTATATTTTTATTGAATTAACTTTATTAGTTTCATTAATTCTATATGTGTAAAATGTAAGAGCAGTAGCATACTGTGCCATACAGTATGAGATACAAATTCAGTAAATTCTAACTTAAAGCAATGACTATGTATTGATGAATCCTAGAAAATTGGCTGTAGACCTTGTGTTTTGATTACTCAATAAAAAGCCTACAGTTTATTTAACTTCTATGTTTTTTCTTTTTAAAAGTAGGGTAGTTTCAGTGCCAAGAAATAAAAGAGTGCTTTGGTATATCTTTTCAAGATATTTCAAAAGAAGTGATCCAGGCTGAGTTATAGCTAGTATGAACTTTTGTTTTTAGATGGTTGAAATATCTTTGTGATATAGGTACTATGTTTAAATATTACATGATAGAAGGTTAGAGACTTGAAAAATGGATAATAAATTTAAATTATTTTTTATTATTTCTTTGAAATTAAGGAAAAGAGTAACTTACTAATTGACTATAATTTTGTCCTTTCATTCTGTTACAACTGACTAGATTTCACAGTTTACAAATATATGTGAAATACCTGTAGAGTAATCAACATGCACTGTACATGTTGTGAATTACTATGTTCCTATTGCACCTATGCTTGCTAGCTACACAGAGAATGAGAGAACAATGTATAATTGATAACCCAGATGCAAAGAAGAAATGTGAAATTATTAACTAAAATAAATCTTAATTCTATTTATATTTCAAGTCAGTCAGTGAAAAAAATAGTTTTTAGCATTTCATCAGTCTACCAAATCTTGACCTTGATTTTGGTTTTTCCCTTTATAAGCAAGCTTTTTCAAAAATTATCTACTCTCATTGTTTCATTCCATTTATTCTTTACCCCATTGTAAACTGACTTCTGCCCCTTCTACTCATTAGTGACTTCCTAATTGTTTATATTAGCTCTTCTCAGGCTTTCTTAGCACTTGGCAATGGGTACTTCCACCTTCATGAAATGGTTTTCTGAGAGGTTTCTGTGATATCCCTTTCTCAGAGTTTCCTCCTACATTGCAGGCTCTTCCCCTATTTCTTTCAAGGACTCTTTTATTTTTGTTTATTTTTTAAAATGTTGTACTTTCCAGAATTACACTTAGCTTTCTTTTCCTTTTATATTTTATTCTTTCATTTGTCAATCTTCCATTTGTATTTGTGATTCTATATATCTTCTGTGAACTAATGGTTTCCCAATTTATATATAGAACTCAGCCTTTTTGTCTCAGCACCAGTCCTGAAATTATAACTGTCTGCTGAATTCAGCCAGTTGTCCTCAAATTCAACATTTTATATCCCTTAAAATCTATACTACTTCTTCTATATCTCTTAGTTTTGTACAGCTTTTCATTTAATCATAAAATTTCTAGTAAAAAGCTGCATCTCTAGTATCTCTCACGTTTATCCTGTCTTATCTCATCTCTACTATAATACTTATATTTCAAGTCCCTTTATTCTCTCTCACAGGATATTGTAACTGTCTTGAGAGGACCTTTCTGTCTCCAATATTGTCTAGTGTGTCCTCTTGATTGCCACCATAGTGATCTTCTAAAATGCAGTGTTTTCGTATGTTATTCCTTATCTTAAAAGTTTTTAGCTGCTTCTCATAACTCAGCAATTAGTTTTCAAATATCTATCCATGCCTTGACTACTTTTGGATCATTTGGAGAACTTTTGAAAAGCTCATAGTCTATACAGATTCTGAATTAGCTTAGAATTTAGCAATCTTGGCTCGGTGTCCATAGCTCAGTGGTTAGGGCACTGGCCACATACACCGGGGCTGGTAGGTTCAAACCCAGCCCAGGCCTACTAAACAACAATGACACCTACAACAACAACAACAACAACAACAACAAAAATAGCTAGGCATTGTGGTGGGCACCTGTGGTTCCAGCTACTTGGGAGACTGAGGCAAGAGAATTGCTTGAGCCCCAGAGTTTGAGGTTGCTGTGAGCTGTGATGCCATGGCACTCTACCAAGGGTGACATAGTGATACTCTATCAAAAAAAAAAAAAAGAATAAATGAATCATTAAAAATTTTTCCAGATGGTTTTGATAAACAGCCAGAGTTAGAAAACACTGACCTATCCATGTGGTTCAGATTCCTTGTCATAAAGTGTACAAAGACCCTTCAGGATCTCCTTCTCCAACACCATGTTACTCTGCCCTTCTGCTTCATAGTCACTGTGTTCCTGACAGGTGCCTTCTTCTGGCCCTGGAACCCATGAAGCTTGATCCTCTCTGGGTACTTTTGTATCAGTTTTTTAAATGGGGGAGGGATCCTAGATTTCTACCTGCTCTATGTCTGTTCTCCTCTATACCCAGCCAGCACATTCTTAGATTTCACATGTGGAACGTAGGTTGAAAACCACTGCGCTAATCCAAATCAAGGAGGCCTAGGAAGATTATGTGACTTGATAAAATTGTATAATGTGAATAGCAAAACATATCTAAAATTTGAGATGATATTCTTAACATAGTTTTTATTTATTGCTTTTCTGTACTTTTATATATATTGTGTCTGGGCAGGTTGATCTGAATTGACCTTATTACTTTCCTTCCTAAATAAATTACCACACTTTTGTTTCCTCATTCATGTATTCATTTGTTCACTTATTCATTCAGCAGATATTTATTTGACCACACAAAGAGTGGGGAGAGGGGAGATAGGTAGAAAATTTGAATAATATAAATTTCTTATCCTTAAGGTTCTTAAAACATATTTTATGTACTTTATATTCAATCATAAAATATTACACATAAAAATAAATTTTTAATTTTTTAGAAGAGAAACCATAGTTATTCTTTTCTACTGTTTTCTTCCTTCCTTTTTTTTTTTTTTTTTTTTTTTATCCAGGGAAAGACCATGTTTGTAGATTTATTGGCTGTGGGAGGAATGATCGATTCAACTATGTGGTCATGCAGTTGCAGGTAGGTTACCTTGAAAATGTCTGTTAAAATCTTCCAGTTTTGATCAAAATACCCAATTGCAGTGGATATGAATAAATAACAACATTCTTGGTATCATCTCAGAATGTTTTACACTGTGCAGATGGAACTTTATTTAAACAAACTCAACATAGAGTTTCTAAAAATGAAATGGTTGTCCTTGTCAGCTATTTTAGTTGACCTGTATTTTCACTGATTGTCATCTTTGCAGTTTTTAATCACTGCATGGATTAAGAGAGATAATATGAGTCTTGCCTTGTCCCTGTCCCTTCCCTTTCTATCATTCATTCATTACCTTAGAGATTCTAAGTTCATTTATGCTCTCAAATATCATCTTAGTCTCTTTCATGCTAATACAGAATACCTGAGACTGGGTAATTTATAAAGAACAGAGATTTATTTCTTTCAATGCTTGAGGCTGAGAAATCAAAGATTGAAGGACCTGCATCTTACGAAGACCCTCTTCCTATGTCTTCCTTCCCATGGTAGGAGAGGAAAGAACAATAAAGCATGGGTATGTGCAGGGGCTCTGGAGAAGGGAGCCAAACTCATCCTTTTTATTTTTTTTAATCAGAAGCCCACTTCCACACTAATGGCATTAATCTATTCATGAGGGCAGAACCCTCATGACCTAATCACCTCTGAAAGGTCATACCTCTCAATATCATTGCATTGGAGATTAGGTTTCCAACACACCAACTTTGGGGAACATGTTCAAACTGTAAGAAATACCAACTCTGACAACTTGAAAATTTAAGCATTAACTGATGTAGAGGAAAAATGCCATTTCTTTCTCTCTTTCCATTATTAACATAGCTCTGTTCTCTGTCCTTTAGACATACATGGAGTTAGGTTGAGGGTTCAGAGGAAAATTCAGAAAGTGGAATATTAGAAGAATGATTGTATCAGGGAGGAAAGGGAAACCATTCCATTTTCTTCGACACTGCCTCCACCGCCCAAAGCACACACACACACACACACACATCCTGAACTATAGTCACCCTCAATTTTTTTTTTTTTTTTTTTGAGACAGTCTTATTCTGTCACCCTTGGTAGAGTGCCCTGGTGTCACAACTCGTAGCAACCTCTAACTTGGGCTCAAGAGATTCTCTTACCTCAGCTTCCCAAGTAGCTGGGACTACAAGCGCCCACCACAATGCCCAGCTATTTTTTTGTTGCAGTTGTCATTGTTGTTTAGCTGGCCCTGGCTGGGTTCTGGGTGTATGTGGCCAGTGCCATAACCACTGTGCTACAGGCACCAAGCCACCCTCTAAGTTTAAAAGCCATAGTTCACCTGCTGCCTAACTTAGAGTTCTCAGAATTTCCTTTCATCTTTAACAAACTTTTGGGGGCATTTGACTTATTTTCTTTCAACTTATCTAAATAATAGTAATTTCAGAGACAAAATATTTCATTTCAGAGAGCTTTTTTGGTTTCCCTCAGCCACCTTTCAGAATTTGATTGAGATCTGAAGATAATCAAACCTCTCTGTAGAGTGTAGCCTTAAAGTCTTTGAATCATGTGAGTCACTATCTCTGGAGCCAGTATAGTTTTATTTCTTTTCTTTTCTTTCTTTCTTTCTTTTTTTTTTTTTTTTTGAGACAGAGCCTTAAGCTCTGGTCCCCCTGGGTAGAGTACTGTGGCATCATAGCTCACAGCAACCTCAAACTCCTGGGCTTAAGCGGTTCTCTTGCCTCAGCCTCCCAAGTAGCTGGGACCATAGGCACCTACCACAACACCTGGCTATTTTTTGGTTGCAGTTGTCATTGTTGTTTGGCAGGCCCCGGCTGGATTTGAGCCCACCAGCTTTGGTGTGTGTGGCTAGCACCTTAGCCGCTTGAGCCACAGGCACCTGGCCTATAGTTTTATTTCTCAAAGCAGCTATCCCTGTAGACTATTAATATAGAACCTACTTTGTCTCACTTTGGCCAGTAATAATATAACTTTTTGCATGATATTATATTTTTCATCTGGATTTATCATACATTTTATGTGATCCTTGCCATACTCCCATGGAGTGAAAAGGACAGGTTTTGTCCCCATTTTATAGATGGAGAGGTTGAAGTTCAAGGAGGCTTATGGTTTTCCTGACACTAACTCATTTGATAGGCATTAGACCTAAGGGCATTATTCTTGCTGTAGTAAACTCCAGTTCTGTCTTCAGGTTACTACTGACTGGAGAATTAGGGAGAGGAGTTTTTTTTAGTCTGCAGAGTCTCTGTTAGTGTCAGTTCATACTCCTTTTTATTGTTACAGTTACCAAAATCTCATTTTCTATAAATGGGAAGGCTCATTGTACTGGGAAAACTAAATGGACTAGTGTATATCAGGTAATGATGGCCTTTGACAAGGTCCTATGGAGTTTCCTAAGAACTTTTCCGTTTGACTTTTATCTTGTAAAGTTAACCCATTAAACTCTCTTGTTATAGTTATGATTGACTTGATTTGGAAGGATAAAGCTAGTATAACTGCTAGAGGATACTCTCACTTATTTGGCATATGAAACATAACTACTAGGTCTCTCCCTATGTTTTTATAAAATTTAAATGCTCAAACCTAGCTAAAACCTGAAATTCAGTATTCTTTTTTTTTCTTTTTTTAAGCAAAAGGACAGAGTTTATTGAAAGATAGATAAGAGGAAGAGTGGGCACAGAACATCTGGCAATGGAGGGGGGAACCCAAGTGGGAAGCATCCTGAAATTCATTATTCTTAAGTTAACCTTGTTCTCTTTCTCCTGGTAATTCAATGGCATAATATCTGCCTTAAATATTTTAAAAGAATAATCCTGTCTTTCTTGTAGAAATGCTGGCTATATACCATTAAAATGGGCCTTAAATTCTTATTGAATTCAAGGAGTTGTACACATTTATTTTCTCAATTCTCTTAGCAAAACTTTGGTTTAATCTAATATCCTGTCACTGTAGAGGCTTTGCATGAGTGTCCTTAGGGTAGCAAAAGGGTGATATTTTATGATAAGCACACTACCTAGTAAAGGGCAAAATACTTCAAAAAACTTTTGAGTCCTGTAATGAGTACAAATGTATATTTAGATTGCCTAACATAAGAGATATCATATTTAAGAATAAAAAACTTTTCAGGCGGAGCTCAGTGGCTCATGCCTGTAATCCTAGCACTCTGGGAGGCTGTTGCAGGTGGATCACCTGAGCTAAGGAGTTCAAGACCAGCCTGAGTAAGAGCAAGACCCTGTCTCTAAAACTAGTTGGGCATTGTGGCGGGTGCCTGTAGTCACAGCTACTTGGGAGGCTGAGACAGGAGGATCACTTAAGCCCAAAAGTTTGAGGTTGCTATGAGGTATGATGCCACGGTATTCTGCTCAGGGCGACAGAGTGAGACTATGACTCAAAATAAAACAACTTTAATTATTGTGAGAAAAATTAGACATACACAAAAGTAGAGAAACTAGTGTAATGAACACCATCTACTCAGCGCCCCACGAACAATGATCAATATATAGCTAATCTTGTTTCAGGAATCTCTTTCCTTCTATCTCAGGAAGAGACAGAGTCTTACTATGTCACCCTGAGTAGAGTGCTGTAGCATCACAGCTCACAGCAACCTCCAGCTCTTAGGCTTAAGAGATTCTCTTGCCTCAGCCTCCCAGTAGCTGGGACTATAGGCGCCTGTCACAATGCCCAGCTATTTTTGTTGTTGTTGTTATTGTCATTGTTGTGTGGCAGGCCCTGGCTGAGTTTGAACCCACCAGCTCCTGTGCATATGGCCAGTGTCTTAATGATTGAGCTGTGGGCGCCATGCCAGGCTTTTTTTTTTTTTTTTGAGACAAGATCTCACTCTTGCTCTGTCACTCATTCTGTAGTGCAGTGGCCTCATTATATCTCCCTGCAACCTGGAACTCCTGGGCTTAAGTGATCTTCCTGTCTCATCCTCTCAATTAGCTGGGGACTACATGTGCATGCCACTATGCCCAGCTAATTTTTCTACTTTTTGTGGAGAGGGGCCCTTGCTTTTGCTCAGGCGACTGGCCATAAGCAGTCTTCCTGCTTGGGCCTTCTAAAGTGTGGGATTATAGACATGAGCCAAACCACTGTGCCCAGTCATTAAGCCTCTTTTTAATCTATTCATTCTTCCTATCTTTTATTTTCTTGCAGTTTTATTTTTGTTACTTTTTTTTTTCTTTTTGAGTCAGAGCCTTACTATGTTTTCCTCAGTAGAGTGCTGTGATGTCACAGCTCACAGCAACCTCAAACTCTTGGGCTTAAGAGATTCTCTTGCCTCAGCCTCCCAAGTAGCAGGGACTAAAAGTGCCTGTCAAAACTCCTGGCTGTTTTGTTGTAGTTGTCATTGTTGTTTAGCAGGCTCGGGCCAGGTTCAAACCTGCTAGCCCCAGTGTATGTGGCTGGCCCTCTAACTACTGATTTACAGGCACTGAGCCTTTTGTTATTATTTTTATTGTCATTGATAAAAATGGGGTCCTTTGTTATGCAGAAGTTACCATATTCTTGTTTTGCTGATTGTTTCTTTGTGGTGGTTTTTAAGATGTCCTTCTGTAGGGCAGTGCCTGTGGCTCAGTGGGTAGGGAGCCGGCCACATATATTGAGAGTGGCAGGTTTGAACCTGGTTCCGGCCATCTAAAACAACAGTGACAACTGCAACAAAAATAGCTGGGCATTGTGGCAGGCACTTGTAGTCCCAGCTACTCGGGAGGCTGAGGCAAGAGAATCACCTAAGCCCAAGAGTTGAAGGTTGCTGTGAGCTGTGATGCTGCAGCACTCCACCGAGGGTGACAAAGTAAGACTGTCTCTAAAAAAAAAAAAAGTCCTTCTGCTCATTTTTCCTATAAATTTGTAATTAAGTAAGATTTCTGGTTTAGTAGCAAAGCTACTTCAAAGGTGGAATTGTGTCTCCTGTTGCATCATATCAGGAGGTGGTATCTGATTTTTCTGTTAAGCATGTTAAGATTCATCAGTGGGTTCAGAGATTGTCAGTCTAATCCATCCATTTT